AAATGGTTTATAATTTATCATGTGCTTGGTCAGGCCTAGTAGGAGAATCTGCAGGAGAAAACTCTAGGTAGCCCTAAATAGTTTTTTTCTTTGAGGCGCAAGGAAATAAACAACATTACTTTGAAGTTGCCGAACATTGCAGACAAATTGGAGACATGAAAAATATTAGGTTAGATCAGTGAGCATACTTTTGATTGATTAACTGATTCGCTTGATTGGCATATTTGCGAGCTTGTGTTTTGAAGTCATTATGGAGCTTTTTAGGGGCTTTCTGATGTTTTCTGTTTGTAGTCGGCCATCCTCAAATGCATATTTTAAGGATCAGTTGTTTGCACTGAACTTTATTTTTCTTCGTCCTGCGTGTTTAGATGAAAAGTGTGACCCGAATCACAGCTTGACCTGAGATGCTAGTTGAAGCGGAGCTAAATGTCACACGTCACAGTCCTTTAGCATCAAAAATAACTAGCAGTTAGTGCAGCAAACCTTTTGCTTTGGTAACTAAAGAATATTTCCATTAAAAAACTAGATTGCACTTCATGCCCTTACCAAAAAGTAGTATACTTCAAGTTTATTTTATTAAGTATACTTAAGTAAAGTTCAAGTATATTTTTAAGTATACTTTATGTAGCAAGTATATAAATTTCAGTGTACTAGTAGTATACTTGTAAGTGTACTATTTCAGTACTCCTTGGGACTAAATTGGCCCACTTTCTAGTATATAAAAGTATACTTTAAGTATAACAGTAGTAAACTAGTTTACAACAATATTTTTAGCTTGTACTGCAACTATACTAAAAGTGAACTTATATGAAAACTGATAGTTTTCTAATTAAATACTTGTAGTAGCATTTTAGTACACTTTGAAGTATAGTCTTAGTAAACTACTAGTTTAGTAGTTTTATACTGAAAGTATACTCGTAAGTTTTCTTTAAGTTTCTTTAAGTATACTACTATGTCCCTATTTAGGTTTGTATATATTTTGTTATATAAATATCTGAACATATAAAACACCAAAAGAAAGAACAGGGTATCTGCTTGTAAACAAAAAACATTTTCTAGCTTCATGCATTATTTTTTTAAACACTTGAATATGCGTAAGTTTCATAAATAATAAAAAAAAAAGAAATAACATTTTGAACAAAAAGCTGAAAAAAAAAGACTATGAATTATTCAGAACGATAATCAAAACGTAGATACTCAAATGTACTTAGACTTTTTCTAAGTAGGCTATTAGTCAAGTATACTTAAATGTCATTTTAAGTATATTTCTGAGAAGTACAGAAAGCCCATTTCTGAGAAGTACATAAAAAGTAGACTAAAAGTATACTTTCCTATTTTTTTGTTTAAAAGAAGTATACTAATAGCACACTTGAATAAACTTCTTTTTCGTAGGGGTGAGTTCGTACCGCAGGTGGCTAATAAGCTCAATAAGTTACTCTGGTGAAAACTGTGTGTGTTTATCTTTAGGAATAAAGATCATAACCAAAGGCGGGGTTTCTCTATTTACCATCTGCTACAATGCTAGCATGAGTACTGTGCAATAAGATTGCAATAGGCTGGATCCTATTACTGTGTAAATTGCATGTGGTATTTTTAGCGTGATAACGAAAGCATCTGCGTCCAAATGGTGTCTGGACGTTCTCGCTTTGCTTGTTTGGAAATCTCTCTTGGTTTGCGCTAAAAGAAGATCACCAGGCCTAACTGTCTTCCTAAAGGGTGATAATGAGGTGATTGCATCACTCAGGGATGGTAAACATACTGTACGTGCTAATTTTACCAGGGTCTTGAGACAGCTTTGTGTTTATGTCCTCTAATCTTCTCTCAGACAGAAATTCGCCATTTATGTCCACGGTGTTAATGCATATCACTGTCAGTTGTTCATACAAACCTGTAGTCTGTTGTAGTCTGTTACTGATTACAGATTATACGATGACACTTATAGTTAGTAATGCAATCTAGGTTACTCATTTTAGGTATTGTATTCTGTCTACTTTTTAGATTACTTTTAGATTACTTTTTGCCTAACTTGTCATAAACCTACCATTAAATGTACCACACTGATATAAAAAGCACAGAGAAAAAAAACATGTTTCATTCTTTGATATCAACAACATAAAATGCATTAAATATCACATTACTCCAGGGTTTCCCAAATTGGGGTTAATGTAAGAACTCCAGTGGGTTTGACTGAGTTGATAAAGAGCTAGTAATGAATGAAATCACAAAAATATAAAATTAAAATATATATACTTTTTTTTAAAATAAAACAATAATATGACACATTTTTAGAAAGGAAACTTTTAAAGAGAAACAATAAATAAATTATGAATAATCTGCTGCCATTGTGTGAATAATATGTAATCATGTAATCCATAAAAAGTAACTGTAATCTGATTACAAGCATTTTAAAATGTAATCTAATTTGGAGTACTTAATTTTTGGAATCTGATTACGTAATCCAGTTTACATGTAATCAATTACTACCAGATGGACGAAGTACACAAATCAAGATTTACTTGAGTAAAGTACAGATACCATAAAAAATATTTCTCCAGTAAAATTATTAAGTGCTCATTTTGAATTTCACTTGGGTAAAAGTACTTGATCTTTAAAGTTAAGTATTAAAAGTAAAAAGTACAGATTGATAAATATTTAATTATTTTGCAATTCTAATCTCCTGCTAAAAATACATGTCATAACGCTGATAACTACTACTAAAAATGACTGATAATTCAAGTGTGCAAACAAGTGACAATAACAAAATATACTATATAGTACAGTATATAGAAATGAGGAAAAACAAAATGTGTGTTGCCAAACATAAACATACAATATACAAACAGTCATCACACTGGGCAAAATGTGTTAGTATTTTAAGAAGAACGCTATGCAAACAAACTAGTTTTACACAAATATGGGCATGTCTACATTCAAGCATTTCATGCAGTGGACTTATACAGCCCTTTCACAGTCGTTAGCTTTAGCTCGCAAACAACAGACAGCCGTGAGCTTAATATGAAATAATAAATGCTAAAGTTCGGCATTAGTAACGTACTTTTCCTGCCATCAGTCGTGCGTACACTCAAGCTCCGAGGATCTCACATTCTATTGCATTCGAATCATTTGAATCAGTGAGTTGCTGACTCGAGAACAGATCCAATCGAATCATTCCAATTCACCAATGAATCGTTCATTGCTATTTGCAAACCAATTAAAAAGAATCAGATTAAAAAGAGTCAGATTCGTTCACGAATCAGACACCGCTCTCGCATATCGTAGTGCGTATTCTCCAGTTCAAAATGGAACGAGGAACGACATGTTTTTATGAAATGTAGTGGAGTAACAAGTACATTATTTTGATTTGGAATGTAGTGAAGTAAAAGTAAAAGTTTACCAAAATAGAAATACTCCAATAAAGTACAGATACTTGAAAAAAATACTTAGTTACTGCTCACCAGCACTGGCTATGAGTATTACATTTTTCACCCTCTTTACAAGGTCGTTTCTCTTTTGGGATGTTTCTGTAAGAATGTCTTAGCTAGACAACGCAAACCGCTCGTTGGCCTTCCTCCAAACATGAACCCGCAGCAACCGTCTGCCAAAGGTTAAACAACCAATATCCTGAAGGGCCTTTCTTGGCTGGTGCTCATCCACAGGAGCTGTAATCTTTTAGCCTTGAGGTTGTGACATTTCAGCCATGCTAAATGTTGTTGTTTTTCTCTTATTCTGAAAGCCTCAAAGACCATTAATCATTCCCCCTGCCCAGTGGCGCTTTGGCTGAGGCACAATGGGGCCATAGCTTATCTTCACCTTCCTGACCAGTGTTTGTTTTAAGCATTAGGGTTGCCGCTCTAATGGATTGAATTAATTGATGAATACTTTTATCCAATTAGTGCTCCCTCATGCAATTTATCAGATAGCCTCGAGTGTAAGCGCCTGCCGTGGGCTGCAGCTCAGCAGACAGATGCTTTGGTCTCAAGTTCATGATATATAAACCTCCCTTTTTGCTTTTCCAGCCACACCTGGCTCCCTAACACAGAAGACATTGCTCTTGGGCTTAGCCCATTATCCGGATTCTTGCTGAGCACAAAGTTTCTGCTTTGAGAAATGCTTTTCAGGTAGATCACCTAAATTAAGCTGCATTTTCTTGCTGCAGTCCTGTGGAATCCAAGAGAAAATCAAAAAACAAAGATCCGCGACCACTTTAAAAGTGTTTTGTGTGTCGGAGGGGATGGCAAATTCACTGTGGCATGGATTGAATTATGTATTTATTTAACAAGAATGAGAACGCCATAACAAGAAGTCAAGGATCGATACAGTTTGTTCCACTATTGACTTATTGCAACTGGATCCCATTTTAAAGCTGCATAGTCAGCTAAAATTATTGCTTTTTCCCTTTTCATGTGATCTTTTAATAATGATAATAATAATAAATATTGCTGCTCTAATGGATTGAATTTATTATTATTATTATTATTATTATAACAGATCAAAGATAACTGTTAGAGAAGCAAAAGACCATATGTAAAGGGAAAAAGCAATAAATAGAAAAATAAAATAAAAATAAATAAAATATTTTTTAAATAAATATTTAAATTAAATTAATAAAGAAAACAAAAAATATTACATTTAATGAAAATATGAAATGATTATAAAAATAAAACAAAAAAACAATACAAATAATAATATTCAACTTAATTAACTTGAAACTTAGAAAACTGTGCTTTAAATATTTACACTCTAAAAAATAACATTTATTTTCTCATGACCTTTCTTTTGAGGCTTTCCTTTCTTTTTATCAGCTAGGCAGTGCTGGTTATTGGTTAATGTTAACCAGTAGTCAAATATCTATTTAGCAATCTGTCATCTAACCATCATCTAACAGTTAGTTCACTCAGTTAGTTAGTTAGCTCTGCATGGCCAGCTATAATGTTCCATTTATTTTTCCCATTACATTAGGTCTCTTGCTTCTCTAACCAGCTATCTTTGCTCTGTTGCAGGTGATCAGATGCTGAGGTCGACGTCAAACTCTCAACCCTGCAGGTCAAGAAGTACCTTTTAAGCTACGGTGAGGCGTAAGAGTCCGCGGCACATGGATCTAGATTGGGATAATGATGCCTCTGATTTTGAGTAACATCTTGCATCCATGAAATTTGAGGATTGCTTTTTTGTCTTTGGGATTTGAAGCGTACATATGGAAATGAAATGGAGAAAATGTTTGGATTACACCTTGTTTGTTAATGCCATTCCTACATTTCACAATGGGATTGCCAAGATTGAACCATAAAACAAAGTTTTTTGACATGTTTGTGCTTTCGTCAAGTAGCTATTCAACTTAAAACTCGACTCGAGCACAGATAGGACTTCAATGGCTTTGTGATTGGTTCCCGTCATTGAGAAACCCAACAGATATCAAAACGGAGGAGCTATAGCTGTGTATCACCGAAACGGCCTCATCTTCCTCAGAAAGATTCCTCTTAAATGCCCTCTTGAGGACCTGGTGGCCTCTACCATGACCAAAACCCGATTGGATTTATAGTTTCATTGAGCAGCGGCGATCTCTCGTTTACCTTCCTCAACCCCAGAGTCAAGGAGCTTTTCTCAAGCAATCAGGCGGTTCAGAACTTCATCTTGAACGAGTTTCTGACTTCTGCCCCATGTAGAGACAAGAGAGTTTTCAAACATGGCTCCCCGCTGGAGAGGAGGAGCTCAGGCTTTGGCAGTGACTCTGGGAATTCTGCAGTGCTGCGGATGGCTGTCCGCTCAGACCGTAAGGACTAGTGTCGGGATGATGGGAAGAGGTCCCGAGCAATGGCCGATGTCCCATGAACGGGTGAAGAGGGGATGGGTTTGGAATCAGTTCTTCGTCGTGGAGGAATACACCGGGACGGAGCCGCTTTACGTCGGAAAGGTAGGACTGCAGAATGTGTTTTTGGTTGCATGCCTACTGTTTATTTTTCCATGCAAAAAAAAAAAAATCCATAGCTGCACAATGAAAGCCAAGAAAGATGCATGCATGCGCTGTGCATTTAAATGAGGCAATTCTCGAATGTGTCTCAAAGTGTGCGGATGGCGTCAGGCTAGTCGACTAGGGCAGATCAAGCTCAAGTTTGGCCGTAAGGCTTGAATTTCTTCTAGATGTATGTGGGCCAAACTAAATCAGGTTATTTATGCATGTGTTTGGCTACATTGGCAATGCATTAGCAACACCGAAAAAGTGATTTAGTGTGTTTTTAAGTTTGTTTTTAAGTTGTGTATGTCTGAGCAATATTAAGGTTTTACAGTATATTTTAGTCAATTTTCAAGCATCAAAACAATATACATTTTATACAGTAATTTTGTATTTTCCCCTCCATACGTTAGAATGTCCTGTTTTTTTTGAGCAAAAAAATAATAACAATCATACATTATTACCATCATTTACAGAAGACACCCACTGAAATGTCATTCAGCGTAAAAATAGCTTGTAATATTTAGAACAAGAATCATTAGATGACATTAACTCACAGTGCAGCTCTCAAAAACTAATTAATTGTAATTTTAAATCTTTACCAATCTTTGCCACTATCCTTCAAACCACTAGCTTTTACCCGATTGTCAACAAAAAGTTTTAGTCATTTAAAATGTAATAAAACTTACTATGATCACTTATTCTTTTATATATTTTAATAAGTTCACAGGCCAGTTGAATAAACCTTTTGACCCGCCACTTGAAAAGCATGGAATTTACGAAAAAACTGCTGATTTTTTTTATTTCATTTTGACACACTTGAGCATGGAACACACACAAAAAAATTTTGAGTCAATTCGAGGATTCTATGTGGGTGTAATAAAAAACGTATTACACCCATAAGTATTACATTCATTTTGACCCGGCCATAGAAATGAATGGAATGTCCGAAAAAAAAACAGAATTTTTTGATTTATTTGATTTTTTTGACTATACAAAATCTGACACAATCCAGAAAAGATGCATACCCAAAAAAAGGGCAAAGACTGCAGAATGTCCTCAATGCACAAAAAACTCACATATCCACACATACAGGCACACACACACACACACAAACACACACATGGCACACACACTCCCATTGAAACACATTATAGCATGTATGATGCTTCTTCTGGGAAATGACTGTCATTTTGATTTTTTTTTTTTTGGCTTAACAGTTAAATTTGAGTGATGGGGTGGAGACCAATGAGTTTATATCATATTTATACTTTTAAATTTATCTTTTATATTTATTACATATTTATGAAACTGTATGAATATGCACAAAATGTGTTTTACTGAGAAAAAAACAAGATTTGTTTTTTAAAAAGCCTTTTTCCAAAAGGTACATCTGGAAAAAGGGGGGTCGTCTTATAATCAGGGTCGTCTTATATTCGGGCCAATACGGTACATTTTTTTTTTTACAAAATATAGTTTTTTTAATGTTTTGGTATATATCTGAAAGCCTTGAGATATATCTGAAAGCTTAATGAAGCCTCAAGTTGGTGTAGTTTTAAAGATTTCACTTGTTTGGCTCATTTAAGAATCTCCATAGGGTTCTATAGGCCCCTCTAGTGGCTGTAATCATAAAATGCAATTTTATGTAATTTTCCCCCACCAGATGGCATCAGAGACACTCAGTGACCTAGGTCCTGATGGATCATCATGTTTAAAGTATAAATATGCAGAAATTGTGTCTTTCTTTGTTTTTTTTGGTGAAAAAATTAATAAAATATGTTAATTTTCATAAAAATATCCAGAATTTAATGTGAATAAAATAAAAATCACCAAAAAATAATAAAAAAAACATTATAAAAATTACAAAAAAATATAAAAACGGACCAATATAAGCTTTCTGGACCAAAAATAAAATTAGTGTCATTTTTGGCCTTCGGGTCATTTTGACCCGCGAGGGGCACTTTTGTTATAGGTTCGGCAGGGACAGATAAAAATGGCTGAGTTTATTGGATGTTACATTTACTACCAATTTCTGAGGGGAAATTTTTTTTTCAGTTGTAGTCTCAGATTCCCCCCCCCC